GCTGGGCACCCGGACTTGCAGCCTCAGAACCCTCCCAAATCCTCCCGCCCCGCAACAGGCACTAATAAACAAAAGGCCAATTAGAAGCTGCGACGCGGCTGATGAATGGACCTTTCCCTTTCAAGCGTGGCATCGAGGCGGGTTTCCTGGTGCCCAGGGTCTCCTGGGAGAAGCTGCCTCCCTGAGCGGGGTCACGTCTGGGGTCAGAGGGTTCTCAAAACTCCCACTTCCCTATCGCTATGGGTCTGCTTGGCGGAAGTAAATCAGGCCACCGAGTCGCCAAGGGCTGGGAGCTGTAGGCGAGTCTGCACCCAGCACGGCGGTCCAACGCCCTGGGCCGGGAACCTCTGCCCCTTGGCCCCTGGCTGCCCCGAGGCAGCACCCAAGTCATTCAAACACTGATTGCTGGAGTAACAAAGGCCAGTCTAGAAAAATGAGCAGTTCCAGAAAACGACTGTTTGCCCGACTCCGGAGCACTAAGGGAACCACGCCGGAACCCAAGCCTCCTCACTAGACACCCGCGCCTAGATCCCAAGCTCCAGGAATGCTACCCTAGTGCTGGGCATTGACACATATCACAACCCCCCAAACACACACACACACACACACACACAGAAATGGCCCCGCCAGTTACACTCACTGGGGTCAACCCCCATCCTCTTGAGACCCAGAGGGCTCCAGCCAGGCTCACAGACACACACCGTGGGACCAGCGTCTAGCACACAATTTCAATAACCTGCATTCCCACACCTTTATAGGCACTCGACAGCCCCACAGCTGTACCCTCTTGCCCTAACTTTGAACAGTGAGATGCACACGGAAAGCCCGGTCTCTTGACACACTGGCCCTGCAGCCTCTAACTCACTGAAACAATTAGCGCCGACACAAACTAGCTGACTCCTGACACAATTACACCCACAACCCACACACGTCAGCCGAATCACAGGTGGACCCATACACTCACCCGGCACACGCAGTCATAGACCCTCACCTAACTCATCCTTAAACGAATTGCAATGAGCCACACGTGAGCAGCCTAGCCCATATTCGCCCCCCCCACCTCGGAGTGGGGGCCCCGGGCCAGGCCTCAGAGCCGTCGGAGTCCCTCCCCAATCGGCCTGTGCATCTGAGACTTTGTTTGCTGCGACTCGAGGCGGGGACGGGGAGGAGCCGAGGTTTCCGAAGCCTAGCGCAGACCGGAGCCCCCTTTCTGCCTGGCCTTCTTGGCGCGGCCCCCCGGCTGCCACAATCCGCCCCTCGCACAAAAGTTGCCCGGCAGGTTCCCGGCCGCGGCCAACGCGCCGCCTCCGGCTCCGCTTAGCTGCCAGGGACAGAGAGCCCAGAGCGCCGGACACCCAGACCTCGAGCCAGGCAGGGGTAACTGTCCGAGGTCCACGACTTCTCTCTCCCCGGGAGTTTGTGACGCCCTCGCGGAGAAACAGGTTCCGGAGCGAGAAGCGCGCACGAACCCCACGTGTGCCCCGCAGGAGAACGTCTGTCGCGGCACACAGGCGTTTTACATTCTGTTTGGCCCTCTCTGGGCAACGCAAATTGAGAACGCGCGAGCCCCTCATCTCCGGAACATACACTTGGCACAGGGGACTCGTTGGGAAGGCCCGCAAATAATCAACTGGGGATCAGGACTTGGATCAAACTTGTAACCTACATCCTCATTCCGGGTCACAGGCGGGACGCATGACAATATTCACATAGTTCGCCCTGTCCTGGGAGTAATGCAGAGCCTGGCCCACCATGTCCAGGGAGCCTACCAAGAGCTTCCGGGCCTGGCACTTGGGAACAGGCGGAGGCACACGCACCTGGGGCGCACGATTCCCACACACCCCTGCCCATAGGGCTGCTCCTGTTCAGCAG